TGTTCCCTATATGTGCTGTCTTTATGAATGCTTGGAGAGCAACTTCCCTACCAAAAGCCAGTAGTCAACTGTTTTAAAGAGACATTTCCCCATAATATTGGGTGAGGGGATATGGTAGTTAAGCTGCTTCTAGCTGCCCTGCCCAATAAGCACTACATGGAAATCTTCTCTCCTCCCCATTACCTTGTATATTGAAAGTAAGCGGCAGAATAAGAACGAAGAAGAGATTGGATTTATATCCTGCCCTTCACTACCCAAAGGAGTCTCAGAGTGGCTTACAGTCTCCTTTCCCTTCTCACCACAACAGATACCCCATGAGGTAGGTGGGGCTGAGAGAGCTTTTTTGAGGACTGCCCTTGAGAGAGCAGCTCTGAAATAACTTGTGACTGACCCAAGGTCACACCAGCAGCTGTATGTGGAGGTGTGGGGATGGGGAATCAAACCCAGTTCTCCCAGATTAGAGTCCGCATTCCTCCCCACTACACCAACCTGGCTCTCTTGAGAGCTTGTAGCCACCCTCTCTGCCATGCTGCCAGGGTTCTGTAGCTCCCGCATAGTCACTATTCTGTAGGATTGGGGGTGCGTGAAAGAAAACTTGGTTTTGTGCATACCCCCATGCTGTTCTGGTGATCTGTCTGGGCTGCCACCTTTACAATTGGAAGCAAATGTGGGTTCGTGTGCTTTAAACTGAGAGCCAGTTTGGTGTAGTGGTTAGGAGCGCAGACTTTAATCTGGGAGAACTGGGTTTGATTCCCCACTCCTCCACATGCAGCTGCTGGGTGACCTTTGGCAAGCCACAGTTCTCTCAGAGCTGTTCTCTCAAGAGCAGTTCTCTCAGAGCACTCTCAGCCCCAGCTACCTCACAGGGTGTCTGTTGAGGGGAGAGGAAGGGAAGGAGATTGTAAGCCGCTCTGAGACTTAAGTGAAGGGCCAGGTATAAATCCAATCTCTTCTTCTTCTAAAGGGCCCACTCACAAAAAGCAGAATTGTAAAAATAGAAAAAGGGCTAGAGAAGAAGGGATCTAAAGACATTAAGCGCAGCTGCGGGGTGGGGGGGAAGAAGAGTGAATGAAACAGCCTGGTTTTCCAGAGGATGGTCAGAGGAGACATTTCCTGGGGAGGGAGATGGTCCTTTGGGGGAGTACAACAACAATGACCAGGACCCAGCAATTTAGATAGCATCCAAAAACAACATATTGCTGCACAAGTTCATAAACTTTCAAACTAACAATGATGGTATTTTTAATACTTCAATAGATAAATAACATCAAGAGACCGAAGTCTTCAACAACCAAGAAGTAAGGACGAACTTTCCCGAGCTTGACAGTCCGTTTTGACAGTCCGTTTTGATAAAGATGCAGGTCGAAACGGACTGTCAAGCGCGGGAAAGTTCGTCCTTACTTCTTGGTTGTTGAAGACTTCGGTCTCTTGATGTTATTTATCTATTGAAGTATTAAAAATACCATCATTGTTAGTTTGAAAGTTTATGAACTTGTGCAGCAATATGTTGTTTTTGGATCCTTTGGAGAAGTAGCCATGACTCACCGGTAAAGCATCTGCTTGGCACACAGAAGGTCCCAGGTTCAATCCCTGGCATTCCAGTTACAAGAACCTGGGAGTGGGTGATGTGAAAGAGCTCAGCCAGTCCTGAGACCCTGATGTTGCCAGTAGACAGAACTGATTTTGACTGAACAATGGTCTGATTCAGTGTAACGCAGCTTCATGTATTCATGGACCTATTTCTAAAGCAACAGTTCATTTCAGTCAAAGCAAAGTGAGGCTGGACTACCATCATAAGCTGCTCTCGCTTGAGGTTCAAATGATAAACAAGTGACCAGGCATCCCCCCTCTTGACTTACAACCACCCAATTCTGCTTGAGAAGGAATTTCTCCTTTCTGTATAATACCAGGAACCTCTGGATCAACTGTCAATGAAACTGACTGGCAGTAGGTTCAGGAGGACCAACAAAAGGAGATCCTTATTCACACAACTTGTGGCCTTGAAAGATGCCACTGCACGATGGTTGAACCCCACAACGGATGATGGTTGCCATAGAGTGGAGCAAATAGTTATAGAGCAGTTGCTTCTGATCCTGCAGACATGTACTTGTCACTGGGTGGGCAACCAACTCAACTGAACGAAACACAGGAATTGTGGGGACATTTCAAGGCTGCCGGTGCCCAAGAAAGCATTGGGAAGGCTGAGCCGCTGAAGCCCGTGGCACCACCCAGAGCCATATGGGGGTAAAACCCAGGAGGATCAGAACAGCAGTGGCCCGGCAAAGCTGCCTGTCATACAGTCCGGCCCAGGTCCTACAACACACCGAGGGTGCCCCCCCCCCGGCCTCAGTGGGCGGCCTGCTGACCCAACCCGACCCCTGCCGGAAGCACAGCCAGAGCCAGTCACAGGCACAGCAGGGGAAGATCTGGGCCCTTGTTTCATGTGTGGCCAATGGGGGCACTTAAAGCACAACTTCCTCCCTCATGGAATGTGACGCGGGGTGGGAGCACGCAATGCAAGTGGCAGAGGATTGGTGCACCCGCCAGGCTGGACCATCCAAGTTAGCCTGGTTGGTCGGCAGCTGAGGGCGCTGCTGGGCAACGGCAGTTCTAGATTCATGATATACGCACATCTGCTTCCGCAGATGCTCCCAGTGGTGCGGTCGACTATCATCGCCTGCTTCCATGGACATGCCAATTGATGTCTGGTGGTAATGGTGCCCTTAAGGTACCAGGGTCAATTGCACAAAGTCCCCAGAGTGCAGGTGGAGAGCTTGCCATACCCAATTTTGCTAGGGCGGAATGCCCCTTACTTCATGGAAGTACTGACCCAGCACCACCAGAACCAGCAGGCTTGGGGGGGGGGGGGGGGGGGGGGCGGAGACCCGGACACAGATGAGGAAGTGGCCACTGAAGAAGCCGTTGGCTGGGACCCCCCACTGTTGGGGACGTTTGATGAGATAGAAGGAGGTGAAGAACCCCTGGAGGATCGTCTGGACGGCAGTCAGGGTGCAGAGGTGATGTGGCACCAGTGGAATCGGAATCCCCAGTTTGCAAACGCCCAAGCCCACGACGAATTGCTGGCCAGACTGCAGAATCAGACAGTAGTAAGTGAAGGCGAAGTGGTGGATCTGAGGCGCAGCTAATGGCTACCACACATGGCACGGGTCAAAGGCCTTTGGTACTGGGGGCGGGGCTTCCAAGGAGGTGGGACCAGTGTTCCCTCTAAGCTGAGTTAGTGTGAGCTAGCTCACAGTTTTTTAGCCTCTGGCTCACAGATTTTTGTCTTAGCTCAGGAAGGAGGGCTCCAGAGCAAACTAATTCATGCAGCAGCCAAATCACTCACTCACAACTTTAATGCCAGGAGCTCACCAAGTAGGATTTTTGCTCACAGGACTCCACAGCTTAGAGGGAGCCTTGGGTGGGACCCAGGGGTGGAGGAAGGAACCCTGATGGGTGCAAAAGGAGGGAAAGCAATATCAATGAGGAGAGGCCTGGGGATGCTTCCGGAGAGCCCAGAGAGAAGGGAGGAGTGGAAGGGGGCCATGGATGCCGAGGAGGGGTGGTGAAGTGACCTCCCTCCCCCGTCCATGTCTGAGACAGCTGCCGGCCCTTTAAAAGAGGTGATACAAAGGGGACTGTGATGGAGGAGGGGGACAACTACTGTAGTGACTGGGAGGGGCGCCCGAAGGGCCCGACAGCACAATACTTTTATTTTCAAATGTATGGAGAAACCTACCAATGGACATTCGCACGATGGCTACATGGAGTCTCCCTTGTACGGAAATAATGTATCCTCAAGGTCGGAAAAGGCGCAGAGCAGCACTTACATCATGCCCTAATGGTAAGCATCCAGGGACATCTGGCTGACCACTGTTGGAAACTGAATGCTGGGCCAGGGGGAATGTTTGGTCTGTTCGGCAGTGAAAGCAAAGGAAATGGAGGGAAAGGGTTGGCATCTGCTTTCCTAAGATTATTACCTTCTAAGCCTTCGTTTCCTTTCCCACAGTCATCTGGTTAAGGGCTTTAAAAGGGGATTAGAAAGATTCATGGAGGGTAAAGTCCATCAATGGCCACGAGCTGTGGAACTGAATGGAGCCTCAATCTCCAAAGGCAGCAAATTGCGGAATACCGGTGCTGGGAGGCAACACCAGGGGGATGTCTTGGCATCTATACCCTGTTCATTGGCCTCTGAGGGCAGGGTTCCCCAATATGGCCACCACGGGCACCTCTCCAGGTGCCCATCATGTGCTTCTGGAAAGTAGGTGCAGCCATTGTGAAGGCAGAACTGATGACTGGCAGCCTTCATACAAATAAAGGGGCTTTTCATTCTGATCCTCCCCATTGGAGAAGGATCCAAGATCCCATAAATAGACCCCACAAATCAGCTGTGAGGTGGTAGGGGCTAAGAAGCACTAAGGCACCCCATTCTGCCTTTGGTCATCTTCTCTGTGTGTGCGTGCGTATTATCCTCCCTTTTCCCCACTGGTCATCGTCTGTGCTTGTGTTAGATCCCTCCACTGGACTTCTTTTCTCTGTGCGTGTTCATACTCCCCTCCCCCTCCCTCTTCTGCGTGCACATCCTCTTGACTGTGCCTCCGGTGGCAGCCATTTTGTGCTTGGCTCTGTCTCTGGTGGCAGCCGTAGTGGTAGTGGTACCTGTCAGCCTGCTTCTAAATCCCAAAGGGCGCGCCCACAATCTCAAATAGGTGGAGGACCTCTGCTCTAGTAGGCAGCTGGCTGTGAAACAGGATGCTGGACCGGACGGACCACTGCTCTGCTCCGGCGGGGCTCTTACATTCTTCTCTGAAGAAGAAACTGCAAACTGCAGCCCTAGGGACTTGGACCCAGTACACCATCACTCCCCTGGACAGTTAAGTGCGGGATCAGCTGTCTTCTTGCAAACCATCACAATTCACTTCGATCCAAAAATACACTTTTATTTTAGTTCTGTCACACACAAAAAAAATACACAGAGAAACCATGGAAACAGGGCACTATTTATGTGCTACGGACATCACTACATAGCAGAACCTGGTTTCTCTCTCCGTTCGCTGTGGCTTCTGTGAATGCACACCAAAGTTGCTAGGTGCAGAGTGCATTAAGTGAACCCAAAAAGTGCAAGCAGTCATGGTACTTAGCCCTTTGCCCCAGGCCTTGTGCACCCTCTCCGGAGAAAGGGATGCTCAAAACATATTGGAGAGGCAGAGAAGACCATACAGGAGTCAGTCACGGATGGGAGAGGTCCTGATTGGCATGGTGACCTTCTAGCTGAGCCATCCGAGCATCCACAGCCCTGCAAGGAAAATGGGAGCACAAATGCATACCACCTTTGATGGCCAGAAGGCAACAGAGCAACACAGAGCATGGGGCCAGAGCTAATGCGCAGAACAGCGCAAGAGAGGATAAACTGTCCCTGCAGGGTCACAGAAGTTGTCCCTGCTTTAGAGTAGCAGGTCACTACTGACTGACACAGCAATGGCACCCATTAGTGCAGGGGTGTCAAACTCATTTGTTATGAGGGCCGGATCTAACATAAATGAGACCTTATTGGGCCGGGCCATGTGTGTCTTAAATGTAATGCCAGGTAGCGGAGATACAAACTTTATAAAGGACACAAACACAAAGGGTTTTTTACTTCAAATAAAAACATGCTTAAAACATTAGCACTCTTGCAATATTTTGTTTATTTAAGTGTCTGAGAACTGACACCTCTTGCTCTGAATTATTGCATCAGCATGTCTGTGCTGTTGAAATTTGGAGTATGCTGTTCAGGTGTGTATCTGTAAGCTGCAAACCTACGATGACGTAGCAGCAGCAGAGCTGGAAGAAGAAGCAGAAGACAGCCAGTTCCATGGCGGGCTTGATAGAAGCCCTCCGGGGGCCTGATGCAGCGCACGGGCTGCATGTTTGACACCCCTGCATTAGAGTGCCAAATTCCATATGCAGGGTTGTGCACCCTAAAGGGGGAAAAAATCCTGGTCGTGCACCAAGCAACCTGAATTCTACAACTAGAATCAATTAGGAAAAGCTTAAATATCTTGCACACTTTACTTCACTTGTTCAGCTCCTCCTAGATGGAGGAGGGCCAAAACACTACGCAGGATTTCAAGACATACCCTTGCCTACAAAACAGGAAGTCATTCAGCCAGACTTGTGAGATTACCACGCACTTCACACATGCACATCTTCACTGTCACATGGACTAGAAACTTAGTTTTTTTTAAAAAGTGAGAATGAGCCACCAAGAAGTTGAGTTATTTATCCAGTGCCACATTCTGAGCTGAAGTGAGACTAACTGGATTCCAGCAACTGAATACACACAACCTTTCCTGTCCACGTGAAGCTGGCAGAGATGAGCAATCCCAGCTCACTCTGTGCAAGGCAACTCTCCCAAGAAGCAGGTAAAAGCTTTCAATTAGCACTCGTGCAAGTAAGAATCCCATTATCTTTGTAAAGGCCGGAGGTGCGGATCATTAATTTAATCCCCCTCTTCCTCCAAGCAGCTCAGGGTGGTATTTATCTCTCCCTTCCCCCTTTTTTAATTCTCCCAGTTACACTGGTGGGGGAGGTTAGCTCGAGAGAGATAGACACGGACTGGCCCAAGATCACACAGGAAGCCTTGAGGCCAAAGAGGGCCTCGAACTCAGGACTCCTTGATCTAAGACCAATGGTCTACCCGCCCCAGCACTGACCTCAGCTGGCTGCACAACAGGCCCCTCTGGCTCCTCAGCACCTGCAGCAGCGGATCCTCCTCGAATTCTGTGCCATCCGAGTCTGCAAAGACAGAAGCCGCTCCAATCAAGCACCGCCTCCTTTCCACACAGCCCCAGACCTGGAGGGCTCCCTGATAGACCTCTGAGTCTTCCCTTTGGGGGTCGTGCAGTATCGCCTCCCATGTGCTCATCTGGGCTCAATCCACCCTCATGCTTCCTTCCCCCTTTCACCTCAGCCTTCTCCCTGGCCCCCACTCCCCCCCCCCCCAAAGGCTGAATGATTTCCTTCCTCTCTCGAGGATGCGTCTGCCCTGCACGTCTAGTGGTGTTCCCATTTGGGCTGAAGCCAGAGGAACAGCATGGGGTGGCATGGGGAGCGCGCGTCACAGCAAGAACTGTACAGCCCACGACCACCCCACCAATGTGGCTTTAGGCAGTTGCCAAGTTGTGCTGATGCCACGCTTGGGACTCGTTCTGCACTGCAGAGGGATTTGGAGCGGGCACACTCAGCAACGTGACTCAGAGGAGCCTGCGCGAACTTTTGGGACCTGTGTAAGTCTGCAGGCGACGGGCCCCTCCTTTAGACGCCCATACTTCATCTTCTCTCTGGCTGCCTATCGCAATTTCCTTTTCAGCAAGTGCACTTAAACAGAGGCCAGCCCATGTGTGTCGAGTGGCAGCTCCACCCCAAGCATCCCCGGGCAACCCGCAGCCCCAGGGATCTGGATTTTTTCCATCCAGTTTCCCGCACGCAATCTCAGGCCTGCTGCCTGATGGTAAGGAAGAGTGCAAGAGACAGGGAGTAAATTCCACCACGTTTAAGGACTTCCAAGAAATTCAGGCAGCAACCAGTGACGGTCCCCAACCAGCCCACCTTCAGCCTGCTCCAGGAGCTGAGCAGCCATGTTCAGGAGCTCAGGATAGGACGGAGTGGAGACAGCGTGTGGCGGAGACTCTTTCGGGCCCTGTTTCTTGGAGCTCTTCTTCAATTTACCCCTCTGGGGAGCTGGAGATTCGGGTGAGGAGAACAGCCTTTCGGCCACCACCTAGAAAATAGATTTCCCCCCTACAGTATCGCACAGCAAGCAATATCAGAAGCGTGGCAGCCTGGAGCCACCCCTCCTGGAGCCCCAAGACAGCCCGTGCTGCTGCCGCCCTGCTACAGGGAGGCTTCTTGACTACCACAGAACCTTCCCTCCTTCTGCAGGTGGAATCTCTCAGGATCCCACAGCCCAATGGAAGGGCCAGAACTGGGCCCTGCATGTGAACGTATTTACAAAAACATTCTGAATTGGCATACTCTTATTCTACTGTGGGAGGGTTCGTTCTAGTGTGCCACCTCCAAGAAACCCTTTCCATGCCAACGTGCCCGCTGAGGAATCCCCTGCCACAGAACCCCTGAGCTCTCCAAAGAAATGGGAAGTCAGGAAACGTTGACACGAGGCAGTGACTGGGCCTCTTCCGCCTCCCTATTGCCCTGTTTGGAGTCAAAGAGACCCTGCTTGGTTTTATCAACCGGGACTGCGGATGGAGGTTTGGAACATAAAAAGCTGGAGGGAAACTATGTGTTTAGGGTGGAAAGGGCATCTGGAGCACTGAGGCAGGACTTCTGCTGAGTAAAGTGGCCTTTTCTGAGATTAGTGGGAGTCCCAGCCTAGCCCCCATTTCTGAGCCCTTAGCAATTCAAAGTTATATTTAACCGTGAGGCCTAGAATGTGGCTAGATTTAAAGCGCTCTAGATTCTGCCTGAGGGTGCAACGGAAGCCATGCAGATCTCCAGACCCTGTGTGTCTATACCTCTCCCAAGACACGCTGAACATGTTTCCTGGGACTGACGGACGGCTTTGCAGAGTCTCTGGGTGCTTTTGGCCTGCCCTGCTCAGACCTGGATGGCCTCTGCTTTCCTCTGGGTTCAGAGCACACCTTCTGTACAGGCCAGGCTGTCCTTTGGGAATGGTCTGGTGGGCTCGGGTCCAAAGGTTTCGTGGCCCCCGCAGGCTTTGGCAGGGGAAGAAAATCCCTGCACACAGGGACAGGATCCTCTCTCGGGATCAGTTCCTTCACACCTTGTTCTTGGTTTGGCTCAGAACGTCCAAGCATCACATTTCGATTGCTGAATGAGGCTCCTTCAGTGGGCGGCTGGGGGGATGGTCCACTTCTCAAACGGTCTCTGCAGCAGCAGGGATGCTCGTCCAGAGTCGGTCTTGGCTGGGCCTCAGATGTTGGCAACGTGGTTCTGTCTTTACTCCTCCAGCTGGTGGGCTCCGGTGACATCAGAGCTGCTCCGCCCATCTGCAGGGAACAATAACAAGACGTGAGGGAGGCCAAATGGCACCTGATCTGACCTCCTGGCATGCAGTAGGAATGTCTACCATGCAGGCCTGTCCCTGCCTATCGATCCGACCACATGGAACAGCCCCTCTTTGCCTCCTACCCTCCACTACACCGTCAGGACTAAGGCAAAGAAGAATTTGCAACCGATCGTATTAAGCATGGAGCCTTTTATGTCAGAGACCCACAAATCATGCTTTGGAACACGGCAAAAGGGCAGCAAGTGAGAACACAGAACATAAGAGAAGCCATGTTGGATCAGGCCAATGGCCCATCCAGTCCAACACTCTATCACACAGCAGCTCAAACCCAGGTGCCATCAGGAGGTCCACCAGCAGAGGCAGAAGCAGTCCATGATAGAGTACAGTGTACAGGCCGATTGTACACAAACAGTTGCTGCTGAACACTGGAAGTGCATTCCCCTCTCCAAGACTGAGCTTTAGGGAAATCAGGGCTGCTAGTTTTTACAAGAGAATTGGCTGGTGTAATAACATAAGAACATAAGAGAAGCCAATGCTGGATCGGGCCAATGGCCCATCTAGTCCAACACTCTGTCACACAGTGGCCAAAAATACCAGGTGCCACCAGGAGGTCCAGCAGTGGGGCCAGGTACATGTCTGTCATGTGACAAAATCACCTGTTCCTTGAGCAGTTTTGCAGCATTTTAAACATGGATTGTAAAACAATATGTGACAAATGAACTTCTGGTAGCTTATAATGTACTAAAGAATTTAAAGAAAGAAAACTCGAGTGTGCAGCCGATGGATACGCAAGGCAGATTATCAGATCAGCGGCTGATTCTCTGATATTGCTAAGGGAGGAAATATCACTGCCACTCTTTTTCATATACATTTGTACATCATCATCAGAATGGTTACCTTGATGCACAGTTGTGCACATGCAATATGCAGTTAATAGATGGAGAGTTACAAACCAGAGTGATCCTTGGCTAAGTATTCAGGCTGCTTTTAAAATCGAACAGACGTTTACAGCAGATGTAAATCAGCAGCTGCTTTCCCCTTCCCCACCCCACTTCTCTTCACTCCTTTAGTTAGTAAGGCCTTGGACCTCTTCTGCCCCACACCCTGCCAGTTGCTTATGTTTCCCCACCCCAAAAGCAAGGATCCGCTCCCCCTTGAAAGCCCCTTGCCCTGCAGCAAACTGAGAAGTTACCCATGGCTGCAGGGATGTGCTTCAGAGACTGCACTCTGTGGTGCATGCCGAAAGTCTGTGGGAGGGGCACTTGTGGTACAAAGAGACTGCCACAAAAGCAGCTGCTTTGTGCTTGGGGCTACCATCACACATCAGCATCTGACCTGCTGCTGCTCGGTGCGGCAACAAAGACAGAAGGCCACAACACTGGTTTCCCCAGCTCCTGAATCCCAGCACTGACTGGGTTGCTCATTCATTCCCCCTTGAAAGCCCCTTGCCCTGCAGCAGCACTGGGCAACCTGAGAAGTTACCCATGGCTGCAGGGATGTGCTTCAGAGACTGCACTCTGTGGTGCATGCCGAAAGTCTGTGGGAGGGGCATTTGTGGTACAAAGAGACTGCCACAAAAGCAGCTGCTTTGTGCTTGGGGCTACCATCACACACCAGCATCTGACCTGCTGCTGCTCAGTGCGACAACAAAGACAGAAGGCCACAACACTGTTTCCCCCAGCTCCTGAATCCCAGCACTGAGATCTGGGTTGCTCATTCAACTCAAAGTCCTACCATGCTAGGAGGATAGGCAGGCTCAGTGCATTGACTCCTCCAGCCTACAGAGGGCAGCACAGCAGCAACTTTGCTGGCCTCCTCCATCTTCCGACGCAGGCGCCACTGGAACAGGATGTCATCCTCTGGTCTCAAAGAAGAACGGGATGGCGATATTTGGACCGTGGGGTAAGAGAGAGCACCTAGGTTGGCTGGGGAGAAAAGGATGTTAGTGTGCATGGACAAAAAAAAAATTAAGGGAAATTAGTTCCAAGCAAAGATCACAGATGGCCTGGTGAACCCAGAACCAAAAAGACACTATATACTATACTCCATACTATATAACTACAACATAGTCTGCTACTGCTATAGTAGTATTCCCTTATACACTACTACAGGGGTCCCCAACCATTTTGAGCCCATGGGCACCTTTGGAACTCTGACACAGCACGGTGGGTGCATCCACAAAATGGCTGCCACAGGAGGTGAAGCCAGCAATAAAATGGCGGCCACCGCTTATACCTTCAGTCACAGAGTGAAGATCCTTGCGCAACAATAGCAGATGATGCCAAAGCAATGTTTTTAAAAATCTGCACAGCCAACCTAATCTCTCCACTGGCCAATCAGAAGTCCTGCTGGGCAGAAAGCCCCACCTGGCCTCTCCCACTTTCAGAAAACACTTGGCGGGCACCAGGAAAGATGTTGGCTGGCACCACGTGGAGGACCCCTGTACTATTATAACTACATCCTTCAAGCTCCATTTCCCTCTGCACACCTTCTGACTGCAACCTCAAGAGGCTGCTTTTCAATTCAACAACAAAAAAAAGTTGGGGAAACTCTACAGAACTTTGGAATCAAACCCTAAAATACATTGTTCTGAAAAGTGAAATCCCTTGAACAGCAGATACAGGCAGCAGCACAAGGCAAGCCATCACAGACCGGTATCAGGGCCATAGCTAGGCATGGGCGGCGGGGGGCAGGCATCCCTTCCCAAATCTGCAACATCCCAGTCCTCCCTTTCCCCTCCCAGTCCCTCCTTTAGAGATGAGCGAGCTGGCTTGTAGGTAGCTTGGGGGGGGGGGGGGCCCCCGTCGGAGGGAGAGCTTTCTTATTTTTGAATTCTAATTTAATTTGATTTGTGTGATGTCAGAGGTGACCTCATGCCCCCCCGTGCCCCCCCCAAAAAAAAAATAGTCTAGCTATGGGCCTGGCCTGTAAACTTTCAAAAAATAAATCAATTTTGCATTAAGATAGTCCATATTCTAACCCTCCCCCCAGCTGAACCCCGTGACTTGTATAAATTAAACAATGAAAGTGTGCACATATTTGTCCAATCCATCCGGCTCCTGCCACTGCCACACATCCTGGAAAGCCAGCTCTGCTCTCCCTTGGTTTTTGGAGATTTTACCAGGCACTGCTGAGACACATTCTCAGTCTTGCTTTGCAGCCTTAAGGGATTTAAGTCTTGCTAAAGAAGAGAAAGCTGACATTTTCAGAACGGTACACTCTTTTATGTTACATTTCAGTTTCTACCACTGTTACTTCCTCAAGACAGTATAGGCATGCCCTAGAGAAGACAAGCCCTGGATCCTAGATGTTACCTTTACATTGGTGCCCCACCAGAGGCTTCGGGGCCTGCCCAATTGGATCTGCATCAGCATTTGTGAGGGTAGATGTGGGAGTGGAGCCGAGTCCATCGTAGCTTACGTGTCTGTAGCTGCTCAAAGGGGACATGCTGCATGCGGGAAGATACATTGGGAAAGGCAGTGCGTTAGCAAAGTGGCAACAAGGGAAGGAGATGGGCTGAGAAGGCTGGGCCGGGGCACAGGGCTGGAAAGCCTGATAGGAACTGGGGCATGCTAGGGGATGGGCCAGGCCAGGGCAGCAGGTTACCTTCTGTGCAGGAGCCGGGCTGCTCTCTCTTGCAGGCTAACAGTGTCAGGATCCAGTGTGGAAGAGTCTTGGGATTCTCCCTGCAAAAGGACATATATAAAGGAATCAAGGAGGAGATTCTCCCACCTCCCTGCCCTGTAGGGAGAAGAATGCGAGGATTCCATAAACGGGATAACGTTGGAGGTGAACTACCCTTGGAGGCTGCGGGACTTGATGTTTTCCTTTTGCCTTTGCAATCCGGTGTTGCCTTCGTAAGGCGCCTAGAGTCCTTGGAGGAATTACATGCTGTAATTAATGGGCTGGTGAAAAACCAAGGAGCGGTTTCTCCTTGACCATCCAAAAAGACTATGCTAGGCTTGCGTAGACAAAAGCCACACGGGATGGGGGCTGTGATAAAGAGGAGAATTGGGCAACAGCGAATGAAAAAGCTGAGTGGATCTACTCCAATTTTTCTTTTTATGGAGTTTGCAGAGAACTCCTGTGGCTGGAGAAATCAAGAACTGCCTGCTGGCCACTCAAGCCAGGATCGCTGGCATCTGACCCAAGAGCAAACCAGGCTCTTCGTGTCTGCAAAATCGGAAGTCACAGCACAGCAAGGCTCTTACTGGGGATAGATACCGTGTCCTGCCAAGTGGTAAAGGTCACAGCGAGTCCCACACTTTCGCCACCCATGGCTGAGTGAACCCACCAGGTCGGAGCGCTTGAATAAGGGATTTCCCCACTTCTGTAGTATCTATCATGTTCTTTCTCAAAAGACACATAAGCCAGCATACATGGGCTTATGGCATTGTATCCTCACAACAACCCTGCGAGGTAGGATAGACTCAGACATCAGAACGGTCTCAAGGTTACCCAGTGAGCTTTACGGTTGAGCAGAGGTTTGGACCCAGCCTGCCTGGGCTCGACTCCAACATTCCTCAACCCTGTGGGATAAAAGAGTCCAGAACCTGGAATGCGATGGACAGAAACCCGACAGGTCAGACTGCAGTCTCCCCACCCAGATGGAACTGATTCCCCTCAAACTCCCAAACCGCACTACTGTACTCACTGAAGGAGAATGGTCCAGCACGGGACTGAAAGAAGACGGCCTTCCTCCATGCCGGCCTGAGTCTGCAAGGAAATTACCTGCATTAAAGATGACATCTTTAGGGTGCTCCCATTGTATGGGTGCTCCTGCAGTCTGCTCCTGCAGTCTGGGGAGTTCTTTGCTCCCTCCCTCGCTCCCACAGCACCCATGGGCCTGTAAGGCTCCATCCCAAGCACAGATCAGCCTGTAGGAAGTCCAAACACGTAGTCAAAGAGTTCCCAGCAGGTCCCCACAACCCTGTGGCTGGGGGGTGGGTGCCAGGGCCACATACAACCCTAACAGTGTGAACCGATGCAGAATTATTCCGATCTAAGCCCGTGAGTTTACACCGGAGTAACTCTGGATAGGATTGCTCTGCAGTTAACAAAGGGGCTTCTTAGAACCCTCTTCTCACGCTTTAAGAAAAATAGTCCTAAGCACAAGCCCACTGAGCTGCAAAGCAAGAAACAGAACACTTAAAAAAAAAAAAGGTTGGCACATGTGAGCAGGCAGTCTTCTCTCCCCTCTCCAGCCTAGAAGCACAGCCAAGTGCATCCCTTTCTGCCACGATGGCATGTGTGTGGATGACCGGTTATTGCTAAAACTCTCCACAGAGGCAGTCAACTGGGGACTGTTCCCAGTCCCAGTGGTCAGCTGGCTTCCCCTGCTGTGCCTGTTTGGCTTCCTGGGGAGGGAAAATCCTCTCATAATAAACTGTTTCAGACATGCAGGAAACTTGCCTTTGCACCTGGTTCAAGACCGCACAGGTTTGAAAAGCCTGGGGAGCACAACTGCAGCAGGTTCACCAATTAAGTCTTGACTTCTGCAGCCAGTAACTCTGCTGGCATTCTTACTGTGCTCTTCTTAGCCCTAGCTTCTGGTGCTGCGTGATCAGGATTGGTGCAAGGAGCTGACACCTTTGGCCTCCTCCATACCCTTGGTGGTTAGAAGGCTTTGTGTTTTGCTTTTTCTGAAGTTTGGCTTGTTTTCTTGGGTGATTTGTTTGCTTGTAACTTTACGGAGAGATGTAATCTATACTGGTTTCAGCAGAATCACATACACCCTCATTGTAGTACCAGAACAAACAAGCAAACTAGTAGCAGTTATCTTCCTAACCACTGATAAGATTACCACCCAAACATGCCTCAGCAGCCATTGCTACAAATAAAAGCAGCCTTCATTAAAAAACAAAACAAAGCGGATGTCTCTTATTTTAAGTATCTTGTTCTGATTTTCTTAGCCAAGAGAGGCCAGGGCACTGAAACCCTGTCCCTAGTAACAGGAAATCTTATTCAGCCAACTCCTCTGACTTCCAAGACATCAGTAGATACTGTTCTAATTTCCCAAGTATATTTTAGCAAGCAGAAGTCCAGAAACTTGTGTGTGTGTTGTTGTTTTTTGTTTAAATGGCAGCCAAGATTCCCAGGAAGCTAAATTCTGTACCTGATATCCCAGGGGTGTCGAACATAAGGCCTGGGGGCCAGAACTGGCCCATACAGGGTTCTTATGTGGCCCACGAGCAACTAGTGCAAAGGAGGGAACAGAAGACAACTTGGGGGAGTGGGTGGAGCCACTTTGATTGTGGCTTCAGCACAGTGGATCATTTATGTCAGATCTGGCCCTCATAACACATGAGTCTGACACCTATGGGCTATCCCATCCTACACTTTTTTCGGTGATTCCAGAAACACTATAGCATACAGCAAAGCCCTCTGTAGACTACGGATCAACCTTGTCTGCAGCAGTCAAGCAGCGTGGGAGCCTCTGCCCAGTGCTGCACCACTGGCTCTCCAGTCCACCCATGTGGGTTTTCCTCTGCACCCCCCTCCCAGCCCAGGGGGCCTTGCAGTGAGGATACAACAACTCAGAGCTTACCAGCTGCTGTCCTTTATACAGTTTATGTCTCTGGTACCTGGCATCATGTTTTATGGCACACATGGCCCGGCCTGACAAAGTGACATTTATGTCAGATCTGGCCCTCATAACAAATGAGTCTGACACCTATGGGCTATCCCATTCTACACTTTTTTCGGTGATTCCAAAAACACTATAACATACAGCAAAGCCCTCTGTAGACTACATGACATTAAGTTCTAGTTTTCCTGGCTGGGAAGTCAATCGACACCCATGATGGGAACAACATCTATTTGTACTGTTTCCGTGCTCTGCGGCTTGTCACGTTAACAGAATGGACAGTGGCATTTAAACAGACATACTCAAAGAAGGATCTACCTTTTCCCCAGGCTAGTAAGAAGTTGTCTGGGTTACGGGATTTTAATAAAGTGTATTATTGGGGAAGGGCCATGGCTCAGAGGCAGATCCTCTGCTTGGTATGGAGAAGGTCCCAGGTTTGATCCCTGGTATGGTATCTCCAGTTAAAAGGATAGTATAAGAGGTGGTATGAAGGACCTCAGCCTGAGACCCTGGAGAACCGCTACTACCCTGAGTAGACAGTACTGACTTTGATGGACCAAGGGTCTGATTCAGTATAAGGCAGCTTCATGCATTGATTTGCCTCAGCAATAGGTCTCAGTTGCTCTAGATCCACTTCAGATAGCTCCTGTTTTTGAAGTGCGATGATCACTTGGATCATTCACATTCTTTGGAATATTTTGAAGGTATTTCTGATCTAATATCGATTTGTGGCTTAGCACTCTTATCTCAGACTGAACATTTTGAACAACTCCGCTGAAGTCAAATGCACCACTCCATTAGTAAACTGGTAGGTCAAAGTACTGTATTTTGAATCCAATGAATAGATATGCTAGAAAACCTGGGGGAGGTATGAGGTTAATGTAATGTTTGTCATGTAATAGCAGCCCTGCTGGATCAGACCAGTAGTCAATCTACTCCAGCATCCCGTCTCACACAGTGGCCACACAGTTCCCTTGGAGGGCCAACAAACAGGACACAGAGCCCAAGGCTGCCCCTTGATACTGCCTCCTGGTATTGGCATTCAGAGATTGGCTACCTCTGAATGTGGAGATTCCATTTAGTCACCATGGGCTACTAGCCGCTGACAGACCTATCCTATCAACTCAGAACATTTATTTGTAGGAGGATCCTGAGAGCCACTTTGGTGTAGTGGTTAGGAGCATGGACTCTAATCTGGGAGAACTGGGTTTGATTCCTCACTCCTCCATATGCAGCCAGCTGGGTGACCATGGGCAGGCCACAGTTCTCTCAGAACTGTTATCTCAGCCCCACCTACCTCACAGGGTATCTGTTATACTGTGCACATCAGAATATCCATTCCAGGAAAAAGTCTAGTCTTGTATGGGCTCTACTGTTTTTAGAATGCTGTTATTCTAGCAGTCCGAAAGCAAGAAATTGCAAGTAGATAAATAGGTACCACTTTGGTGGGAAGGTAACAGCGTTCCATGCACTTCGGTGTCTAGTCATTCCAGCCACATGACCATGGAAATGTCTTTGGACAGCGCTGACTCTTTGGCTTGGAAACGGAAATGAGCACCGCAACCCTAGAGTCGGATTCGACTGGCTTTCGAGCAAGGGAAACCTTTACCTTTACTTATGCATGGCAGTCATTAGTAGATCAGAGGGCTACACAAAGGAGCATGCGTTCAATATAGGTAAACTAATGAAGGTTTGGGATTGCATCGACAAGAATCTAAGGGTGGGGGAACTGAAAGAGCATGGTGAGAGGCGTTCATGGATGGGATTCTGTACATTATCCACCAGTGCTAAGAAACTTCACTGCCTGAATCGGCAGGAAGGTGAAAGACAAAGACAAAGCTCTATTCTGCTACTAATGCTATTCTGCTACAAGTGTGCAAACCCCTATACAACTCTTCCTTCATACAGGAGCCATCCCTGGGATTACAGCATTTCTACAGCAGCTCTACTGCCACACAAGCAACCAAGAGGCTTCCTAAACACTGCCTGACTTGACCTGGGCCAGTGAAGGCATTTGCTGTGTCTACGTCCTTTCTGCTGGCGCTCGAAGATGTGGATGTCTCTGTCTTGGAGTTGTCACCTTCAGAGGGAGAGGAATGGCCAAGCCACCAAAAGGGGGGCGACTTGCTGCCGGGTGTCCAGCGCTCTCTACGGTTAGTGGGCTGCCCATAACGGAACCGCTCGATATACCTGCCAGAGGAAAGGAGAAGTCACATCATGTGCACGGACAATGCTCCCGCCCCATACACTGGCCTCATTCTGAGCCGCTTCGCTGCCAAATACTCCGATGCAAAGCAACCAGTGCAAACAGAGTACCAGTAATCTACTACGTGGCACAGTAATCAAGGTCACTGAATGAGTTGGACTGCCGCCTCCAAACTCTCAGGACCCAGGGATCCTGTCGCTTGCCTCCCTCCCCATCACTCAAAGGGAACCTCTGCTCTAAAGAGCTCACCTGGCAATAACTGATTCACTATCTGAAAAAGAAGTTTTGGAGCCCCGGAGCTCTGGAGAGGCCAGTGCCTTGGTCCCCGATGTTTGCTCCGGGAGAAGAGCCTTTGGTCCCTCCGGGGTCAGGGAGGATGAGCTGCGCTCGGTTGATGGCCACGACTCGTTGTAGGGGCTTGTGGAGTCTGAGTCAGGAGGTTTCGCCCCCTGGCAGCTGGAGTCAGGCAGGAAACTCAGAAGTGGGAGGCTCGGAGGTTCAGCCTCCTTGGGGGAGGCGGAGCAATTTCTCTGTTGCAAACGGGATGGGCTCAGAGCCTAGGGGGAAGGAGGGGAAAAGTGAGTACCCTCCCTAACCAAAGGGCTGCTGCAGAGTCTCCAGCACCCTGCAAAGGCAGCCAGGATACAACTGCCTAACCCTGCTGCTCCGTGAACGCCACCTTCTCCTCCTTGCCTAGCTCAGCCCAGCTCCCAGGGCAAGCTGGATAATGGGCCCCGGAAAAGAACAGAATCCGGGAAGCAGAGTTCACACACGTACAGCAAATCACTAGCTACTCAGCATTCACACTCCTTCCAGGCAAGGCAGCCGGCTTCACCCAGCCTCATAGAACCAGGAGATCCACAAGACCAGATTGGCTCCCAGTGTTTCTGCTACATTTATTTATTAAAAACATTTATACCCTGCCTCTCCTTGCAGTTCAAGACAGCTTGCAATAATAGTTATAAAACATGTTCAGTTTAAAAACCAAACATAAAACAACAAACCCCAGATCGCTTCCACCCTCTTGCCTTAAAAGATGCCTGCCAGTTCAAACTCCCCCAAAAGCCCTGTCAAATAGAAGAGAAAAAGAAGAGAAGAAGAAGAAGAAGAGATTGGATTTATACCCCGCCCTTCACTTGGTGTTTCACAGCGGCTTACAATCTCCTTTCCCTTCCCCTCCCCACAACAGACACCCTGTGAGGAAGGTGGGGTTGAGAGAGCTCTCCCGAGGACTGCCCTTAAGTGAACAGCTCTGAGAGAACTTGTGACTCATCTAAGGTCACACCAGCAGCTACATGTGGAGGAGTGGGGAATGAAACCCGGTTCTCCCAGATTAGAGTCTGCATACTTAGCCACTACACCAAACTGGCCTTGCAGCTCCCCTCCCCCGGGGAGGAGGCCCCCTCTCAACCTCTTCCCATTCCACAGAGCCGGAGCCCCAAAGGAAAAGGACCAGGCCAGGGTCAGTGCCAGAAGGGCCACCCTGAGTGATGGGATAGCCCACAGGTGGCTGTCCAAGGACTGCAGTTGGCGCACAGGAAGATATGGAAGGAGACGGCTCTCCAGAGCGATCCCCCTTTGCCCACCACGTCTCCTCTCCCCATTCTCACCATGGACTGCTCTCTCCGGCTCAACGGCTGTGCCCGTGAAGGGTAGTAATGGCTCTGGAAATGGGACGCCTCCAAGAAGGGGTTCCCCTGGGTGGAGAACACAGCTGCACTGTGGACAGACAAGGAATCCTGGTCAACATGGCTCACTCCTGCCTTAGTTTAGCCCCCTGGGTCACCGGGAAAACAAAAAGCAGCAAGGAGATCCCTAACCCCACCCCACCCCCAGAAAGCCGATCCTACTGCTTATTTTTCAAGGCCACAAGAACTCAACCAATGATTTACTGAAAACATTTATACCCTTCCTCTTCACGCATGGCTAAGAGGGCAGGCACCTGAGCTCTTCAAGTACCGAGAAATATATCCCTATGGAAAGGGATTGTTAGCAGCACTGTAAAGGACTGAAAGGGAAATGCTCTGCTCAGCTGAGATAGGAAAACTGGGAACAGAGCTTGGCGGTAAGACGAAGCCAGTAGAGAAGGTTGAGGGGGGGACAGGATTGCTCTCTTGAAGTATGTAAAGGGCTGTCAATAAGAGGAGGGCAGGGAGCTGTTCCTGTTGGCAGCAGAGGAGAGGCCTTGCAATAATGGGGTTAAATTAAGGGCGGGAAGGTGCCGGCTGGATATTAGGAAAAACTTTTTTTACAGTAGGAGTTGTGCAACAGGGGAATCAGCTGCCTAGGGAGGTGGTGAGCTCCCCTTCACTGGCAGTCTTTATGCAGCGGCTGGACAAACACTTGTCAGGGATGCTCTAGGCTGATCCTTTATTGAGCAGGGGGTTGGATGGCCTGTATGGCCCCTTCCAGCTCTGAGAGTCTATGATTCAGTAACTTTAGTGCTGCAGGGGCCAGATATCAGGAGTGATCTTATACCAGATCATCAAAGCCACCTATCCCAGTACTCAATGGGCGGCAGAATTCCAGGGTCTGCCCTGCTGTCATACAAAACCATTAAAAACTAAAAATACCAGGGCTAGAATTTAAGGTCTCCCACCCCAAAGGTCTGCATTCTTTTCCCAATCATAGGGAAACAACAACAGAACATAAGACTAAAAGAAACCAGCAACTCTTACTGGCTTACAGAAGCACCACAGTCACCAGCCCTGGGTCTTGCCCGCTCCTAGAAGCCATACACCAGCACACCAAGGGACTGGGATTGACACCAATGGCAAGGTTTCAGGTCTGTTCACACTGTGCCATCCATGGGCAAGATAAGTTTCAGAGGGTAGCCAAGTTGGTCTGCAGTAGAATAGCTAGATTCGAATCCAGCAGCACCTTAGAGATCAACAAGATTATTTTGTTGGTCTGTAAAGTACTACTGGACTCAAATCTAGCTATCCCCAAGCAAAGGGACTGAACATCGCATTTGGAGTAATTTACATCACATCCATAGGTAAAATACACTGTTGTGTGCATGTGGGTATCTCTTCTGATTCTGATCCTCTCGGGCCACAGAGGCAGAGATAGAAGGGCTGTTTCTCTCTTTTGGCTGGTTAACATTCTTCACTGCCACAGAATATGACCAATCAGGAAGGAGCGAAATGTAATTAGGGGCACAGAGATTCATATAAAGGGGAGCCCTGTCTAAACTCCCAACTGTGATTCTGTACATGTGTCTTTGCCAAAATGGCACGAACAACGCAGGGCACGGATTCAGAGAATCCCTGTTCACACTGGCTTCACCTCTGGACAGAAATAAGAATTGTTCTAATAGTTACACAGAACGCGGGAGGAAAGGGGGGGGATTCTAGATTGTACCACTACAGATTACTGGAGGGAAGCATAATTTTGAATAACATAGCAGCTCCCCACATGTAACAAACCAGAATAGAGGAAAATGTTGAATGTAGCCTCTTCAGAGGCTACTAGTTTAATAGGACGCTTACAAGTAGGGTATAAATGTGGACTATAAATGACATTTTTAAAAAACCTATGTGCCAAGTCCACCATCTCACTTTGAGTCATTTATTTTATTTTGCAAAGTTTATATCCCACCTTCCTGCCCTCATAAGGGGCCACCAAGCCAGCCAACAAATTAAAACACACATAATAAAATCTCATCTTAAAAATCATTAAAACCAACATCATTAAAACAATTCAACAATCACTAAAACAATTACAATGCATCGTTGGATTCTTCACTGCCACAGAATATGACCAATCAGGAAGGAGCGAAATGTAATTAGGGGCACAGAGATTCATATAAAGGGGAGCCCTGTGCTCCTAAACTCCCGACTGTGATTCAGTACATGTGTCTTTGCCAAAATGGCACGAACAACGCAGGGCACGGATTCAGAGAATCCCTGTTCACACTGGCTTCACCTCTGGACAGAAATAAGAATTGTTCTAATAGTTACACAGAACGCGGGAGGAAAGGGGGGGGGCATTCTAGATTGTACCACTACAGATTACTGGAGGGAAGCATAATTTTGAATAACATAGCAGCTCCCCACATGTAACAAACCAGAATAGAGGAAAATGTTGAATGTAGCCTCTTCAGAGGCTACTAGTTTAATAGGACGCTTACAAGTAGGGTATAAATGTGGACTATAAATGAATTTTTTAAAAAACCTATGTGCCAAGTCCACCATCTCACTTTGAGTCATTTATTTTATTTTGCAAAGTTTATATCCCACCTTCCTGCCCTCATAAGGGGCCACCAAGCCAGCCAACAAATTAAAACACACATAATAAAATCTCATCTTAAAAATCATTAAAACCAACATCATTAAAACAATTCAACAATCACTAAAACAATTACCGTACAATGCATCGTTGGCATCCCTCACAGTGGCTTACATCCCACACTGCATCGTTGGCATCCCTCACAGTGGCTTAGAACCCACACTGAGTTTTATTCACATTTCTGCTGGTTTCCTCCTAGGAGTCTCCCGACCTTTCCCCTTCCCTGCACATGCAACTTTCTCCCCAACACTTCTCTAGCAAACGTCTGTCATACCTGGAATCCATCACTCTGCACCCAGGCGCTCAGCTTTCCAGGAACAGAGCCTGATCTGGGTTGTAGATATCGTATCTACATGCTTCCTCCATGGGGTGGCAGAAAGCTTCCCAAAGTGTGACAAATAACTTCGGCACAGGTGTTCTTATTTGGCAAAATCCGTACAGCTTCCTAGAGTGGGTACAGCCTTCTTGTTCCCTCTGGAGTGTTTTGGAAATGGAGGACCAGAGGAGGAAGATGGAGGCATGAAGAATGGAGCCTGAAGAAGCAAAATGACAATAAAGGCAGTTAACAAAAGGAGGACAAGGATCAGTGTAAGACCTCTCTCAAACCCCCCCAAAGACTCTCTGAACTCCCAGAGGCAGGACACTTGATTGAAAGAGTTAAGATGGGTAATATTAGGCCAAACACCATAATCTGTAGACAATGGTTCCCCAGCGTGGCACCACCAAGAATGCCTGGTATCCCAAAGAGAGACAGGTTGTCTGCATCAGCCACTGAATACCTCACAGACCAGCAAGATGCTCAGATGCATTTCAGACTTTTCCATCACTATCAGAGCAATAGTGGTGGAAATCGTCAGGTCGCAGCTGACATGGCAACACCATACAGTTTTTAGGTAAGAAGAAGAGAAGAAGAAATTGGATTTATATCCCACCCTTCATTACCCAAAGGAGTCTCAGAGTGGTTTACAATCTCCTTTCCCTTCCCCTCTCTACCCTGTGAGGTAGGTGGGGCTGAGAGAGCTCTTTCGAGAACAGCTCTGAAAGGTCACGCCAGTAGCTGCATGCGGAGCAGCACTGACCAAAGGTCACGCCAGCAGCTGCATGCGGGGAAGCGAGGAATCAAACCTGGTTCCCCCAGATTAGAGTCTGTGCTCCTAACCACTAGACCAAACTTGCTCTGGGGGAAGGATCCTGTGCTCCTTGAGCTTGTCCACACGTAGACACCAAGCCCATCTTTGCGTGGACGCATGTTGGAGGAGGTGGGGGCAGCCTCTTTGTGGTAGGGGGCGGGGCCACTGCATTGGGTCCCCTTCACTCTGTACACACAGTTTACTTTGACCTGTGAGATCTGTATCCCGCCTTTCCACCCAATCAGGGCCACCAAGGCAGCAAACAGTTAAAACAAGGCTTAACAAAAACCCCATCCAAATACGAACCAGGCCCCACCCTGCTTAGCTTCCGAGATCTGACAAGATGGGGCTAGCCTGGGCCATCCAGGTCAGGGAATCAGAGCGCTTCTTGCTACCCTTCCACTGATTTTTATTGCTGTGAAGAGCTCTGAGGACCATTACATTTCAAATGCAGTATACGAACTCTCTAAATAAAACAAACTTGGTTGCTATATCCCTGCCCAAAACGACCAAGGAAACAGCCACAAAGCTCTCTGCAACGAACAACTTCTAAAGGGTTCCCACCAGTGTTCCCTCTAAGCTGAGTTAGTGTGAGCCAGCTCACAGTTGTTTTAGCCTCCGGCTCACACATTTTTGTCTTAGCACAGGAAGGAGGGCTCCAGGGCAAACTAATTTATGCAGTAGCCAAATCGCTCGCTCACTTTAAAGCCAGTAGCTCAGAAAGCAGAATTTTTGCTCACAAGGCTCCACAGCTTAGAGGGAACATTGGTTCCCACCACTGTGGGGTAGAATTACCCCTCACACGGACTGGGAACCAACTCTCCAGTATGCTGAGCCTGCCAGTTAATCCAGCCCGGGAAACTTCCCCTTCTGTTATATCCGTCAGGCACGCAGACATTTCCAAAATGTGACACCCTCAATGGAAGTCAGGCCCAGGGAACCTTCTAGAGCAGTTAAGCGACTGTCTTCTGGGATTTCCGTCCTCTTCACAGCAGCCGCAGCTTCAGCTCCTTGGTGGAGCCAGGGAGGAAATTTCCACCCTGCTTGTTTTTTCCAGCGCGCAGTTGCTGAGGCAACAGTTTTTGTTTTTTCCTTGTGAAAGCGTCCCATTCACCGGCCCTGCCGTACCATGGAGCAACTAACAGCATGAATCCCTTTTTTGCTCGGGAGGAATTTCATGGCTCCCAGTTAATGTCTGATCAAAGATGGAGCAATTCATATTACAGCATTGCTCTTTGTGTTTCTCTCGGCGCTCACTGGCAGTAGGGACTCAAAGAGAGGAGGGTTTTCCCCCCCAACCAGAGCAGGGCTTTGATTGGTTTGGCTTGAAATGCCCTTAAAGCTGTTATCTGAAGAAGCCAAGACCAAAGTGTGGTCAGATTCGTGAGAAAAATGCCGCAGCATCTCCAGCTCACAGACAGCTCTCACTTGAGGCTCAATTTCCCCAGTTATTCTGCAAGAATGCCCTGACCTAGATAGCCCAGGCTAGCCTGATCTTGATATATCTTGGAAGCTAAGCAGGGTTGGCCCTGGTTAGCACTTGGGTGGGAGACCGGCAAGGAATACCAAGGTCGTAATGCAGAGGCAGGCAATGCCAAACTACCTCTGTTAGTCCCTTGCCTTGAAAACCCTACAGGGGTCGCCATAAGTTATCTGTGACTTGACAACACTTTTCCCCCACCGCCAGTCTGCAAGAATATCTTTCTGTTATGTGCTCATCTTCCAGCACGGCATGCCTGGGACTCCTAGCTACAAAACGGAGTCAGGTTGTGAACAGCCAGATAGTTAGGATGCCCTTAGCCAAAGCGAGTTCTCACTTATTTAGGCCCATGCATCAGACGTGGCTGCAATGCATGCTGGGGTGATACGAAACCTTGACTGAGAAGCCCAAAGCAGTACAGTGTGAGTTTCTTCTACGACCACTGGCAGAGCAGAAACCGCTCCTTGCTACCAAATTACCCTCTGCAGGACAGTGGGGTGGGTGCAACGCTGCATTTCCATGGAGTGCAGCGTCTGTACCCCAAAATGCCCCCTGAAATCCTGGCCTGGGAGAGAAGGAACCCCCCCTCTCCAGGAGTAAGGTTCTGATGGCCTTTTCAGGTTGCTTCGACAGGCGGAGTTGCAGAAGTCACATTGTACAGGTGAAGTCCTTCTGCCCACAGGAGTGTGGCACTGCGCCCACGCCGGTGCCAGCATGGCGTAGTGATTAAGCATGTGGCAAGGTTTCCAGTCCCCACTCAGCCGCGGATATTCTTGGACTGTTCTCTCTCTCTCTGCCTAATGTATTTCAGAGATATTGTAATGATAAAATGGAGGAGAGGAGAACTATGTAACACCTCCTTCGCTGATTCGCCGAAGAGCAAAACAAGAGAAAACTACATGATTAAGCAGCCTGTTATGCAATCTGCGGTGACAATCTGACAGTGAGCTGTCTCTATCCAGTCGCGACCAGATTCTTATCCCACCTTTCCTCCGGGGAGCTCAAGGCAGCGTAGACGGGGCTTCCCTCCCATCTTATCCTCTCAACAAGTCTGTGAGACAGGTTAGGCAGAGAGGCAGTGACTGGCTCCAGGTTACCCCGTGAGCTTCGGGACAGAGTGAAGATTTGAACCCAGGTCCCTTCACGCAACATCTAGCTCTCTAGCTGCTAGAGCACACTTGTGGCCGACGTGTCAGACCTCACCAGTGGCCGTCCCACGGTACAAGGGGGGGAAGCGAACTTAGACCACTTCCCTGAGCCCTTTGCCCACAACTGCACTGACTGTATTATTGCAAAATCTGTCCTTTGATATGCAGTTTAAAGCCACCCAAATTCCCTCCCCCATCGTCCGGGAGGGGATAAAACGCTTCCCAGTAGGCATATCTCTTGCTGCTTCCTTCCTCACTGCGCACTGATTTAGCATGAAGTTGTGTCTTCTCTCTGGGCTTTTCCCCATGTCCCCCCCAAAAAAAAACAGGTCTAGCCTCATACTGCTTTAGTTTATCCTGATTTCTGCATGCATTTTTGTCCCTTTAAGTTTCCACTTTGGACTTTTTGTTTTCCCCCTGGGATTTTTCTGGTTCTTTTGTGACCTCTTTTACCCTAATCCTTTTCTGAAAGCCAAGTTGGAGTCCCTTTTTTCCTTGTGCGTAATGTTTCTGTTAGTTTTCTCTGTCTCCCCCCACCCCCACTTCCCCCTACCTCCAGCCCACTCTTCTATGATTGGATTGTTGTCACTGGCAAACATTTCCCTCTCCTCCCCCACCCTGAAGACAAGTGATTTTTTAATTTTTTTAAGGACAGTAAAATATTGATATAGCACTGAAAATGATAGATCAAGCAAGTCCTCTGAATCACCAGCTTTTTAAAAAAGTTTCCAGCCCTTTCCTTGCAGACAAATGCATTTTTCCTTACATTTCTGTGAAGGAAGACGCTATAGACTTACTAAAAAAATGAAACTGGAAATTCAGAGAACCTGTCTGAACTATCATTACAATAGTATATGTATAATTTACTGCTTTTTAAAAAATGCAGCCTTGATATTGATATAAATATGCGCACACAAAAAAGCGGGGATGCTGTGACGCCACCAATGACGAGAGCATCCTCTCTTGAAAATCCTAATTATGTAAGACACATGTGGAAGAAAAGAAACTGACTCTACAACTGTGAAAGTGCAGAGGCCGGGCAGACATGTGGAAGAGGCGTCCCCAAACCAATTCCAGCACTTGTGGATCAACTGCCAAGAAATTAGGAGTTAAGTCAAGCATGCAGAAAAACCCCCTCTCTCTCATTTCCCCAGTCCAGTCAGCACAGAGAAAATAGGAAACTCCTTACTTAGAGGTCGCTGAAGGCAGCTAGGATCTCAACAGTACCTCACCCCTTCTTAGGAAAAAAATGAAGGCGGCTATGGAGATATACAGACGCCCAGGGCCTGCATTAACCCAAGAACATACATTACATGCTTGGGACAGGGAATGGTTATTGTCCTAGTCATAACTGAATATGGGAGAGGGATATAACAGAAGCTACAGCTTCTTCTTGAATTGTTCAGGAAGACTGATTTTGCAAGCAAATTTTTTTGCAATGCAGTTGTGGCTGGTGTGCAAGCCTAAGGAAGAAAGAACTTTCTTTGGCTACAGGCACACTGCCTCTGACACTGTGCAGCCCGACTAAGATTTCCAGACAAGAGAAAAAGGCATCCTGACTCTCCTCAGTGGAAGGGGAAGAAGTCCACACTAGGAAGGGCTGAATGGGTTATTTCTACTGCACAAAAGCTAGGCTTGGCATTTGAGTGGACAAATGACTGTCAAGCATGTAAAGTGTTAATGAACACTTTATTACTGAACTGAAGTTGTGCTAATTACACGCAACTGCTAGGAGACTTAAAAGGCCAGACCTTCCCAGAAGCTTTTCT